GGGATTACAGGCGTGAGCCACCACACCTGGCCATGGTGAGATGATTTCTGTATGTGAATTCCGTCCACTTCTGTCTTAGTTTCTTTCTTTTTCTTTTTTTTTTTTTTGAGAGGGAGTTTGGCTCTTGTTGTCCAGGCTGGAGTGTGGTGGCATGATCTTGGCTCACTGCAACCCTGCTTCCCAGGTTCATGCGATTCTCCTGCCTCAGCCTCCTGAGGAGCTGGGATTACGGGCGCCCACAACCACACCTGGCTAATTTTTTGTATTTGTAGTAGAGACGGGATTTTATCACATTGGCCAGGCTGGTCTCGAACTCCTGACCTCAGGTGATCCACCCACCTCGGCCTCCCCAAGTGCAGGGATTATAGGCCTGAGCCACCACGCCCAGCCTCATTTTAGTTTCTCAGTAAGTCTTCGGACTGCTTATGCAGTTTCTGAATTGTCTCCAGTGTTTGAGGTAGACGTCAGCCTGAACCTCTCCAGGCCTGATGTGATAGTGGCTCTCCCATAAAGCAGGCCATCTTGTTCTATTCTACACTATTCTATCTCCATCAGTCTTTTTTAGCTCCAGGATAAACAGCTCTTCTGACTTGAGGACCACTACGATACTCTCCACTCATATTCTGTGTTTCCCACATGGCTTCCTTCTTCTTTGCCATAAGGCCCTTTATGCCCTTGTGTTTCTGTGAGGAAAGCTTGAGCTCCAGATAAGGAATAATCAGCCCTCCTCACATAGCCACAATGACTTAGCTATTGGCCACACCCACTCAAGGAAGTATGACTGCATGATTAATCAGCCCAACTCCTTCCAAGAGAAGGGACCTCTGCCTTCTGATTATTTAAGTTTATGACTTTCTCTTCCCAATTTTAGCTATGTGTTATTTCTAACAAGAAAATCAATGGTGTTTTGTTAGAGAAATACACTCACTATCCTGAAACCACCTTTGCAAAGATTATGAGCATGAAAGAAATCTAACACGGCTGACTTCATCTTGCTTCCAGCCTCATGGGTGAGCTGGCTTTGCTCATTCCTGGGTGTAGGCCAAGCTAACAATGAAAGGAATTTAGTTTATAATTTAACATTGGAGCAAGGATAATAACGGTCTCTTCTAAAACTAGCTCTCTCCTTGCTCAGGGCCTGAAAGCTAATGAAAGGCCAAGAGATTAGGATTATGAGAGGGACCTGAACTCTGCTAAAATATAGTCATAGTTTTTATAATCCATTACTGCTCAGAGATTTGTGACTTTCCTAATTGTTCCTATAGATAACATCACTATTATAGAATGTAAGATTGGTCTTCTGAGATGTTTTTCAGGTTTTTGCATATGACAACTGACTGACTCTACCTGAACCTGTGACTCATGACTCATCTGGTCCTGTGGCCCCCAACCAGAGGTGGATACAGCACATGAGGACCATTTCCCACACCCTCATCCCCAACCAATCAGCAGTACCCATTCCCTAGCTCCCTTCCTACTAAATGATCTATAAAAACCATTGCCCCTGTGTTCTTGGGGAGACTGAGTTGAGTGATAACTCCAGTTCTTCCACATGACTGGCCTTGTGTTAATTCAACTCTTTCTTGACTGCAATATACCATGATCTCAGGGAATTGGTTTTGTCTGTATGACAGGCAGGAAGAATCCTTCAGGCAGTTACAGTCCCAAGAAATGAAACAGGTCAAAAGTAAAAGTTTAGAAAATGTTTAAAAGTTTTCCTGGATTGCACATATATAATAGGTTTTAGTGTGGATTACGTAGATGTTTGGGAGGTTTACCTCCCTGACCTTTAAGTCTAGCAAGGATCATGATCTATCTTTCTGCCACATTTCTGGTAGCCACTGGTCAGAGAGAATGGTTGTGCCATGGACATTACACTTTAAAAGAGTATGAAAAAAATAGGAGGCAGGTTTTACGAGATGGAAAACATGAAGAAATGGTATATGCTCTGAGGTTGCTTAGATTATACAAGATAATAATTTCTAAGGAAATAATTTTATAAATGTGTATTGAGTCATGTTAATCAACTGTAGTTGATTAACAAGGAATGGGCCATGAGGAATGAAGAATGACATAGTTAGAAGGGTGGAGATATTTAAATATGTTCAAGATATTAAAGTATCTTTAATATTTTCAAGAGGAAGAGATAATCATTTCCCTGTGTGGTTTCAACTAGAGACTGATATAGATACAAAAAATTAGAAGCCCTAACTTCTTTAAATCAGACTTAGTAAATTTTTTTTTAACATTAACTCACAAATTATAGTGGTACTTAATAGGAAACTTTAAGAGAAAAATGTATTGACACAAGTACTTTGTAAAGGGAAAGTGCCAAGCTACTTACCTTTTCTTTTTGTAATGGAAAAGAGCAAAGAATATTTATATGTCAAGCCATAAAATATAGAGAATATTAGTTAGGAAGGATAATGATTTAAATTTAAATGTCAACCAATTCACTATTTTCCCATGAAATTGAGTTCCTGACTAGGTTGTTTACAGCAAGATCTACTATGACAAACTACTTTTTAAAAGTGTATTGGCATCTCTGTGAAATACAAAAACTTCAATTGCTGTATAGTTTGTTGTAGGAAACTGCATTGTTTAGAATATTTCCTATAGAAAACTGTTCACTTAAAAGTTACAAATTCAGGTTTTTTTATTTTTATTTTTTTTAGACGGAGTCTGCTCTGTTGCCCAGGCTGGGTTGCAGTGGTGCGATCTCGGCTCACCACAACCTCTGCCTCCCGGGTTCAAGCGATTCTTTTGCCTCAGCCTCCCAAGTAGCTGGGGCTACAGGCACACACAACTATACCTGGCTAAGTTTTTGTATTTTTAGTAGAGATGGGTTTTCACTGTGTTGGCCAGGCTGGTCTCAAACTTCTGACCTCATGATCTGCCTACCTAAGCTTCTGAAAGTGCCGGGATTACAAGCGTGAGGCATCAAGCCTGGCCCTCAGTTTTTTATGGGTATAGAATTTGCTCATCAACCTTATAACATTGATATTATTGATTCTGGCCTCACTGGTGTTGTTATACTTTAATCAACCATTACAAAAGCTGCGTATGTTTTCTTTCCTGTCAAAGACATTTCTTTATTCAGATCTTAATTTTTGCAAGTTTTTTTTCAAGTGTAAAAAGTTAATAGTGACCTCGCACAGTGGTTCATGCTTGTAATCCCAGCACTTCGGGAGGCTGAGGCGGGTGGATCACTTGAGGTCGGGAGTTTGAGACCAACCTGGCCAACATGGCAAAACTCTGCCTGTACTAAAAATACAAAAATTAGCCTGGTGTAGTGGCACATGCCTGTAGTCCCAGCTACTCAGGAGGCTGAGGCATGAGAATCCCTTGAACCTGGGAGGTGGAGGTTTGAGTGAGCCGAGGTCGCACCACTGCACTCTAGGCTGGGTGACAGAGAAAGACTCTGTCTCAGAAAAAAAAAAAAAGTTAATTGTGTTTACAAAGTATTTGTTTATATATTGAAATACCCAATGGAAAGTCTCAATTCTTCCCCACTGGCAGGCTATGTGTGCCATAAGTGACCCAATCAAACTTCTAGTGCTATGATAGGATCTGGGCTTAGAGGTCAGTGTCTGCAATGTCTTAGCAAAACTAGGATATCAACAGTTTACATTTCTTGGGATAATATGGCTATACTTACCCTTACCCTTTTCTGTACTTTAGAATTATCCAAGAGAGGAAAATGATGACTAAAATAACGAAGATCGTACCGGATATAGTGCCTAGGCAGTAAAACAAGGTAATTACATGCATGGAAAATATAACTCATAGGTTTTAAATTCTGTCTTAGTATCCAGTCCCACTATAGATTGCCAATGCTTTTTTTTTTTTTTTTTAGATGTAACTATACATTCTGCTTTACTCTGGGTTTCTATAGTATTAGTCTTACTCCCACAGGGTTATTATAGTTAAGGTGTGATCTGAGCTGTTTTGTAACCTTTAGTCCAACATCAACTTTTCCAAAAGTAAGTGAGAACCACGATAGGGCAGCTGGCCATCAGCTCTCCATGGCCCTGCCCGTGTGTCTTGCCTAAGGCTTAACACACAGGCATTTCATTGTGACAATACTGGAATTTTCTCTCTTGTTGAATTATATATGTAGGTCCTTTGTCCATTTATTGATTGTTAAAGTGCACAGTCTCCACAGGTAGGTAGACCCAGGCTACCCCATTCTGTGGTCTTGGGCAAGTTACCTAAACCCTCCATGTCTCAGTGTCCAGATGTGTAAAAAGGGATGTAAGAATACCATGCCACAGAAATTCCCTTGGAAGCAAACTCTATTACAAAACTACTCTTCTAACATAGGCAGATCACAGATATGGGCTCAGAAGACTGATCTTGTGGCTTTCTATTTGTGCAAATGGGCACAATCACCATCTGGAAGCATACTCCAGGTTATAACCCAAAGAAGAAGCTTCATTCTCCCACCACATTCAAATAAGTTATTTTTGACACTGTTGAATGATTATGCATTTGTAGTGGTTCAAAGATAGTAAAGAACCTTTGAGGAAGGTTACTCAGTAACCTGGCATATGATGATGCCAGTTCCACCATATCCTGGCCTAAACTCATCATGATTTTCTTTCTAGTTGAATTTACAACTCAAGATATTTTAATCTCTCTTTTTGCATTTCATTCATTATAAGTAGGTACTTACTGTTAAGGATGCCAGAATTCCTCAGCAAACCCTTCATAAAACTTACCAACTATAAGAGCGTCATTTGCACCTAAAACGAAGACAGAAGTCACAAAAACATCACTCTGGCATGCAACATAATTGAACAGGACTTCTCAGCCAGTGACAATTTATCCTGAATTTTATTCAGGACTCAGACTAATATTTGTTTTTAAAAGTCATTGATTTCACTCACATACTCTCATTTTACCTTCTGTACTCAGAGAAGATTTTCTTTTTTAGACAAAGTCTCAATCTGTCGCCAAGCTGGGGTGCAGTGGTGCAACCTCACTGCCACCTCTGCCTCCCAGTTCAAGGGATTCTTGTGCCTCAGCCTCCTGGGTAGCTGGGAATACAGGCACGTGCCATCACACCCAGCTAATTTTTGTGTTTTTAATAGAGACGGGGTTTCACCATGTTGGCCAGGATGGTCTCAATCTCCTGACCTCGTGATCCACCCGCCTCAGCCTCCCAAAGTGCTGGGATTACAGGTGTGAGCCACTGCCAAGAAGGCTTTTTAAAAATTAATATTTTTGTCATAAAAGTAATACAATTATAGAAGAAAACTTACAATACAGAACTAAAAAAAAAATCATCCCAAATCCTAGTGCCCAAAACATGTTTTGATACATTCTCTTCTGGTATATTTTCTTATACGTGTATTTTCACATATTTATATACTAGAAATGTAAACTACAACAAAGACAAACTAATATAATCTAGTAGATGCATCATAGTGTATTCAATGACTACTATTGTGCATTTATTTCTAGTTTTCTTTCTCATGAAACCCTTAATAAAATGCATAAAATATTTTATATTTTACATTATTTCCTTAGATTGGAGTTCTAGGAGGGCTAACTGGCAGGAATAGTTGTATTATTGTCCACATACATTGCATAATTGTTTTTCATAATAGATTTTGCCAATGTACAATAGTACCTTCAACATACAACAATATTCATTACATTACATCCTTACTTTTTATTGGGTATTCACATAAAAACCTTTTTAATGGACAATTTTAAAAAATGGTACCTTGTTATTTTGCATTTCTTTAGTTCTAGTGAGGTTAAACAGTTTCTGTATATTTGTGTGTCAAAGTAGAAAGATATTTACACCCTTCCTCTAAATCTTGCATCCTAAGATAGTTTCTGCATTTCCCTGCAGAAACTTTCAGGGCTGTGTTGCATTGAACTATGTAGAACTGAAGAAACTCCATTTACCTTAGAAATGGCATGGAGACTTCTTGTGAACTAAGAAGGTCCAGAAAGTGGGGAGAATATTGAGAGACAGTCTGGGTGGAACTGAGAGAAACTAGGCTCTAGGAAAGCAGTTGCTTTAATGAATGGGACACTGGGTAATGGAAATGGGTAAAGAGGATTTGGGGACATTTTAATGAGTGTCACATAGTTTAATTTTTCTTTAAGCCTCTCTGAAGATATTCAAGTAGAAACTTCTCTTAGTTTTAACATGTTTCCTGGAGTTGAACTTATTTGTCTAGCATGCAACACCATGCTAATTATTCTTGAGACAGCATAAATATGGGTTATATGTATTAATTCTGACTTTAAAGGGGACCTGGCGATTACCCCTTGCTCTGAGGAAGATGTTGAAATGTATCGGGCCTCTGACGTAACTGGGCCATTGAAATGGGAAGATAGGGGATCTGAGTATCCCAAGAAATTCTTCCTTCTCTGATGCTAGTACTCAGAGGTTCCTTTTTCTCTCTGGATTGCTATTCTTTCTCAAAACCCTCTATGGCATGTCACTCCAAGCCTGGACCACCTCCCCAGGTTAGTTCTTCATCTTCCATTTTAGGAAGGCCTAGGACTGGTATCTTAAGTAATCTATCCCAAGCCTTAGGGGAAAATACTGGGTTTTATTTTTTCTGTTTTGATGGTCTCTAAGATCATGAAACTTTCTTTGCCTCTTCTCACTACAAAGCAGTAAGATGTCAAAGGCGAAGACTAGATAGGGTAAAGAGACTAGGAACAAGAAGGCAAAGGGGACTGCTTTTAGTCTGAGTCATAGTTCAGAGAGACAAAAGGAGTTCCTAAGTGGTTCAGCCCAATTCACGAGGAGTCTACACTAAGCTCTGAGTTCCAAGAACCTGCTGGTTAATAGTTATTTGGCCCATTCTGATTCTTTGTTGTATCTCCTTCAACCAACTGAAGAATTGCCCATTATCTGGTGTTTGGGACCTTGGCCTGATAACTTTCCATTTTATTATGACAATACTTAAATATTCTCTTGTTGAATGATATATTTACATCCTTTGACCATTTATTTATTGTTAAAGTTAAATATTGTTATTTATTGTTACAGATAAGTAGATTGCTTGGCCAGGCTACCCCATTCTGTGGTCTTGTACAAATTACCTAAACCCTCTGTGTCTCAGTTTCTACATCTATAAAATGAGATAATAAGAATACTACCCTCCTCACAGGTTGTTGTGTAATTAAATTAGAAGCTATCTTTTGTGTGTTTGTGTGTGTATGTGTATGTTTTGAGACAGAGTCTTGCTCTATTTTCCACGCTGGAGTGCAGTGTTTTGATCTCAGCTTACTGCAGCCTCGACCTCCCAGACTCGGAATTCTCCCACCTAAGCCTCCCAAGAAGCTGCAACTACAGGCATGTGCTACCATGCCCAGCTAATTTTTTTATTTTTTGTAGAGACAGAGTTTCGCTATACTGCCCAGGTTTCTCTTGAACTCCTGGGCTCAAGTGATCCTCTCACTTTGGCCTCCCAAAGTGCTGGTATTACAGACATAAGCCACCATGTCCAGCCTATCTATCTTTTAACGGTGGTACTAAGTATTCATTATATAGTAATTTTTACAAATAGTACCACAACCACCACTACTGCTACCTGTAAGATAACACTATTAACCCTTTGCTGTGTTTCCCATATATTTCTTATCTATCTACTGCGTTATTTTTCAACCACAGAAATTCTAAGTCAAATTAGCCAACAGGTCAAAAAAGTCAGCACCAGGCTCATGCCTGTAATCCCACCATTTTGGGAGGTTGAGGCAGGTGGATTACCTGAGGTCAAGAGTTAGAGACCAGCCTGACCAACATTGTGAATCCCCGTCTCTACTAAAAAATACAAAAATTAGCCAAGTGTGATAGCAAGCGGGTGTAATCCTAGCTACTTGGGAGGCTGAGGCAGGAGAACTGCTTGAACCCAGGAGGCAGAGGTTGCATTGAGCTGAGTTTGTGCCATTGCACTCTAGCCTGAGCGACAGTACAAGACTCCATCTCAAAAAAACACATTAAAAAGTCTACAACTTTTATGATTCAATGCTCTTCTGTCCTTACTGGAGGATAGAGCTTGTGCAGGCAGTCACAGCCACAAATGCATCTACAGTTGCCAGGTACTGTCATTTAAAGCCAGACTAATATATCAAAGGAAAGAGCTATGGAGGCTAAGAGTACAGTCTTAAACTCTGCTTCTCCAGGGCCTCCTGAGTTCCCTTTGTTAATGGTGAGGTGAAGGACCAACTAAATATAGTCAGTGACTTGAACAAACCCTTGGAAACAACATAAAAAGTATAAATCCCTACATCTGAGTTTCTTAAATTACTTTTATAGTATTATCAGTTCTGAAGTAAATTACGTCATCATTGTGTACTTTTCGTGCAGCACATCCATCTATCCAGGATAAAGACAACTCGTAGTAGAGGTAGAATAAAAGAGTATTTTATTTAGCATTTGTTTTCAGTACTTTGAAAATATTCTCTACAAAATCTGGACCTCACCAATTCTCTTCACTGTCCACCCCCTTCTCTCCTTACCATCCCACACTGCTCACCCCAAGGACCATCAGAATACCAACAACTGAGACACAGTGTGCCTACTAGAACCCATTTGTCATTCACTTGGGAGGTAGTTCTGTCTCTGACATTCATAGCAAAGCCATTTTCACAAGCAAAAATGACTGTCACTATAGAAATATGGAGGTTCTCACCTAGATATTCTGAACCCGTTTAGGATATGTGGAAGCAGGTACTAACCAGCAGGAACAGAAAGTTCACAGCGAGGGGCGGGGCTGCTCCAAACCCCATTCCCTTGAGGGTCACTTGTGCAGCGGATGGTGCTCTCCCCAATGAGGTTGAAGGTCATCCCTCTGTCTGGGTGGGGGTCGCATGTGTAAGATACTTCTTTTCCATAGGGAATATCTCCAAGGGGAGCTCCTATGTGTCTCCCATTAAGGATAGCTGGAGGATTTGGGCAAAAGATTTCTAGAAAGAAAACAAGAGCTTTAAGTTCCATTAGAGTTTCACTTAAGATGACTGAAATATTAGTGACCTGTGACTGTGCTATGAGTATAATTTTTTTTCTTTTAGAAAGAATATAACTAAGGTGGATAGAATTTAAATCTGTAAGGCTTTTGTTGAGAGGCAACTAAGTGATGTGAGACCTAAATTACAGTTTATTGCAAAAGGCCAAAGACAGTGTTTTTGGACCATCTAGGTAGCTATGTTCATAATGAATTTGGAAAGTAATTATTTTTTTATATTTTTAAAAACGCCCATTTGGTTGTCTACTTTAAATCAGGCATAGTAAGATTCCTGGGTTGACAATGAGGTTCAAGACAGACAAAGTTTTGGCCATTGGAGACCATAAGTTCCAAGGAAATCTATGAACGTTAATAATCATGAACTATCATCTTTAGCAATGTAAATGTTTCTTGGTGATTCAAGACCATTATCATCAGGACCAACACCAAATTTCCAATGGCGTCATCAGACTACATTGGTAAGGCTCTTTTTACCCAGATTAAATGGTGCCAAAGAGCCTTTTTTTCTTTCTTCCAAATTATTAGCCATCATTTCTTCCTCCTCCTGTTAGTCTGCTTAGAACAGTTCCTTCCCTAAAAGCACTTGATGCTTCTAATTTGATATGAATTTAGGAAGAGACGCCCAAGTTTATCAGAATTATATGTATAAAAAAGACTTAGTACATCAAACAATGATTGACTTCTTATGCTTGAATTTTACCTGTTTGTGTTTTCCTAAGTTTGTTTATATATTTATTTCCAGCTTTATATGTCTCTGTAAGGTTGAGTTTGTTGGATACTTGAGTTTCCTCAGGTATTCACTGTTCTTCACCGTAATACTCACCATAAAATATTCGAATTGATTTCTGTAAGTTATTTTAACACAATGCAAATTAAACATTTTCCAATAAGAAAAAAAAGGTTTAAAAAATTCTTGCCTTGCTTTAATAGACAGAATAGGGTAAATCAGTAATGTCTTAGTATGTCAAACATATACTTTTATCTAAGAGTTTCTGAATTCTTTCTGAATTTGGACATACTTTATTTAAGCAGATGGTTTGGAAACTTAGGACACCTCATCATTTCAGACACTGATTCATCATCCCAGCTCCTTCCCCTGTACTAATTTATCATATAACTCTGTTTTATTTTCTCCATAACATCCCTATTTAACTATCATTTTATATATTACAATTTTTAGAATTTTGATTACTTATTTTATCATTCTTAGTCTGCTTCCCAACAAGAAAATACACTCCAGGAAAGTAGGGAGGTGTCTTCACTATTCTTTTACTCTTCATTGCTTTTTCTACACATGGAAAGTCCTAGCACATGGGAAGCCCTATGTCATTAAATACTGCCGGCTAAAAAATAAGCTGACTAAACTGTTTATGATATGCGAGGGGATAAAAGAACATAAAAATTTGGCTGGGCATGGTGGCTCACACTTGTAATCCGAACACTTTTGGAGGCGAAGGTGGGAGGATAGCTTGAGCCCAGGAGTTTGAGATCAGCCTGGGCAATATGGCAAGACTCCATCTCTACAAAAAATAAAAAATTAGCCAGGTGTGGTGGCATGCACCTGCAGTCCCAACTACTGGGAGGCTGAAGTGGGAGGGTCACTAGAGCCCAGGCCATTGAAACTGCAGTGAGCTGTGATTGCACCACTGCAGTCTGTCCTAGGTAACTATCTCAAAAAGGAAAAAAAAATTAAGAAAGATTACTCCTTATAAGAAAACTAAAAATAAATGACTAACTAAAACGTGCTGCACCTTTATGTCATCTAGTTTCTTGCCACACATTCCACACAACATTAAACACTGTCATTAAACTAAGTGATTTACAGATTAGTAACAAATGTCAGAGAAGTCCTACAAGATGCTTCTTGAAATTCTTCCAACAAAGAAGTATTTTTATCCGAAATTTAATTAAGTAAAGATCCAGACAACAAGTGATTCCATGCAGTAAACACACTGGAAAACAAAAATAAGGAGAGTTATCCAAACTACATAGTTCTTTCTACTCACGTTCACACACTGGAACACTGCTATTCCAAAGGGCTTTCATTCCAGCCAAGACACAATGACTAGCAAACCTGCCTTTTAATCGGAACCTAAAGAAAAAAAAAAGTGGTAGCAAATGTGTGAGCAATTCCCATCTCTCCCTTGATTTCTTCACTAATAGATGCTCAGCTTCCTCACTACCATTTCCTCTTTGACTATCATTTGGTTCTTAGGTTCCGGCCCAGCTAAAAGTCTAAATTCATTAGGGATCTGAATTCTTCAGTAGCTGGCAGAAACTCAAAGGCCAATTTATTCTAAAGAACCATAGTACCCTGTGACTGGCAAAGCAATTAGAGCTGATGTGCCATGTAAACTTCATAGCCCAGCATCACCTACAGAAGGCATGAACACAGAACCAGACTTCTCCATGGGCACAAGAGCCATAACCTTCAGGTGTCATATTTCACTGATGGCTGTCTGACATCCCACTTATTCTCATTAGTGGGTCATGAGGCAGAACAACTCTCGATTTGGTAAGCAAAGCCAGGAACATCTGGAAAGAGAACAGCCATTGTTTTTCTTGCCACTCCAAATATAATGGGCCAGAGGAGGCTCACAGAAGCATGCTGAACCACGTGCTCTAACAAACAAAGAAGGGTCGGGGGGAAAGTCTTTGCCACCCTGAAAAGCCTAACTTACTATTGAATCCTGCTTCCCTTCTGAAATCTAAAATTGTTCTGGAATTGGAAATCATTATTAGGTGGTGGACTTTGTAAATGCCAAAAAATCCTTGGAAATTATTAAAGATAACTCCTTAATTGCTCAATCTAGTTATCCCCCCAGACTCATGGTGTACCAAGAATAATGGATACACATAAACAATGAATAATACCTCACTTGGCAGTGGTAGAAGCAGGAGGCAGACAAATCCTAGGCAGATGGGGCGGATCCCGATGAAACCCGACCTTCAAGCTGAAGACAGTTTAAAGCCTCGCTACAAGTTCCAGGTAAATCCATGGACTGGCTTGAGAACCTCTCTTCCCATTGGGTGTGCTTGCCTCTGATTGATCCCCACTCTTCATCTATTTCACATATACCTGCTCTTCCATAATTGGTTTTTTTGCACTGTTGTGCCCACCTTTGAGTGGTGGCTTTGCTTTAGCCTTTTTTGCACACTCACAAACAAATTAATACACACTTCCAATTCTGAGTCCATAAAAGCCCCAGAACCAGCCACACTGAGAGAATGACCCCCTGACTTCATCTGGGGTCCACCCTCGTGTCTCGTCTCCCCTGAGAAGCTGTTTCGTCACTCAATAAAACTCTTCTCCACCCTCCTCACCCTTCTATTGTTAGCATAACCTTCTTTTTCTTGGCTGCAGGAAGAGAACTCAGGACCCACCAAACGCAGGTACGAAGAAGGCTGTAATACAGTGACCCTTTGCCCTCTCCCAGGGGAGGGCAGCTATTCCATGCAACAGGAAGCAGCAGCAGGTCAAGTCAGCCCTGGAGACGCAGGCCTGGCAGGGCGATGGGACTGACAGAGTTGTTAACACACCGCCATCTGTTGGGCTGCAGGCATTATCAAATGCTAAGAGCTATTAGCATGCTGTAACACCCCCTCTTGGCTTTGGGGTTGTGGGGACCCCTGTTTGGGCACCACCACGTTTCCTTCAGTGCAACGTGACTGGTTCAGCCGCAATCCCCACACGGAGCCCGCTCCTGTGCCAGTGCTTGGGGCAGCCAGCCAGAACCCACACTTGCTCACTACACACCCCCTCCTGCCAGAGGCTGAGCATGTAGTCGTGGCAGCCACAGGATCTGCATCAGAGCCCAAGCCAGGCACGGCCTGGGAGGGTCGAGTAGATGGGGTGTCTCCTGCGTTGATCCTGGGCCGAGCAAGGCCTGGGCAGGGCTGTTTCTGGCCAGAGGTCACCAGCTGGCAAAGTGGCTGAGAAAAATCTTGCATCAAAACAATTACACTGGCCATTCTTGACATGAAGATATGTAATTGGGTTATACTTATCCATACACTATTACAGATTTCACTTTTGATTGGTTTTAAGTTTCCTAAAACAACCTTTGCCTTATTATGAGGCAAACAATTTTCGTCTTACTCATCTTTTTTTCTCTAGTATACATTTTATAAAATTATGTTCTTTTGCCTCCAAATAAATACATACCCATTCATTTCAAGTTCCAACTGTGGACTCAAGATCAGTGACTGTATTTAGGTTTGTACCTGACATTGAGCTGTATGTGCCATTTTCTCATTGTCTTCTGAAAGTGGTGCCACTTAGTCCCTATCCTTATTTCTAAACTACCCTTCCATAAATTCATCTCTCTGGGTACTTCTTATCTACTAGGTCGGCTCCTGGTTTGGATTAACCCCTGATCTCAGGGGAGTGATTCTCCACACTGAGTCCTGGGTCTCAACTCTGGGTCACACTCACCCTTCATCGCAAACAAAGGACACCTTTGCTCCAAGCTGGAGATTGAGTGGAAACAGCACACGGCCATGAGGAAGTTGGCCCAGGAAGTCATCACAGGATTTCACTAGAAGAAAAATAAAACAACAGGAGTAAGACCTCCATGTGAGGGGGAAACAGCAATCTGGAAGCCAGAGAGTCAAGGCACCTGTACATATGGGGGCTTCAGGGTTCCAGTCTCCCTGGGGCGTGCAGTGCAGAGACGCAGCCCCTCTGAGGTCATAGCCGGGCTCACAGCTGTAGAACACTTCCTGCCCAGGTGAAAAGTCCTGATGGCTTGGAGTGTGCTCACCATGCAGGATTTCTGGAGGCGGCTGACACACTGTG